CTGAATAAATGAATGAACAAAATTGAACGAAGGGTGGATCCAAATAACACATACAATTTGATAAAAAATATAGAAAATGTCATTTAATGAAAAATGAAAACTATTTGCTATGTTTTATATTTTATCGGTTCATTTATTGTCATCAGTTATTTGTAGTCAAATTGTTATTGATGTTGTGAATGTTGATCATTGTAATGTTACAATAACATGTAACTAGGTAGAAATTTGGTTTAGTATTTAACAAAATATTTCTTAGTTATAATTTGTGCAAATATTTTTTTATGTGAAGCAATTGATTTAAATCAATTGTTACAGTTTGTTATAATAATATTTATAATTGGTTATATTATTTTCATTCGTTTGGTTTTAATGGTTTCACGTTTCACAATAAAATTTTTACAAGATATCACCATCAAGTTATCATCAATGCACCATCGTCATCCTATCATCATCATCATCGCATGATCATAACAGCTTCAACATCATCATCATCATCATTACATCACCATCAGCATTACATCATCAATCATCATGATGTTATCAGCACCACCACAACAACAACATCATCATACTATCATCATCATATGATCACACCATCATCATCCTATAGCCACGACATCATCGTCATCGTTACGTCATCATGACGTCACAACCACGTGACTAACCGACGATATGAGATTGCCGTGGGCGTCAAAACAGATGAAGTGTTTTGTGTGGTTACCCATGAGGACGAGGCGTGGAAACATGTAGTGAACCTTGCGTACCTTTATGACACCTGTAGTAGTATTATCATCATCGTTATTATTGTTAACATTGCTATTATTATTTATATTATTTGTAGTACTAGCAGTAATAGTAGTAGCAGTAGCAGTAAAAATAAAAATAGTAGCAGTTGTAGCAATGATAGTATCAAAAGTAGCAGCAGTAGAAGTAGCAGTTGTAGCGGCAGTAGCATCAGTAGAGTAGTATTCTTATAATAATCAATTGCACTTGTTACATTTGTACTTCTTCTTACGTCCAAAAGACGTCCTAGGACAGTAATTAGAAGTATTTAGTAATCAGAAGTAATGTTAAATGATAGCAATATTAAACAGTACATAGTAGTAGTGATAAAAAAGCAGTTTTTTCAACGTTTGCAATAGATATAACAAATATATATATATATGTATGAACCATATTATAAATGATATCAGTAAATAACATTACAATTAATGATAGCGTCATATGATATCATGATACAGACAACAAATCATTACAGTGAATAATAGCTAGCACCTATGATATCATGATACGTGATACAAATACAGACAGCAAAACATGATTGAGTGAAAACAACCAATTCTTCATAAAAAATAACAATGTTTTTAAATGCGAACGAATTAAATGATAGAATATATAATAATTAGTCCTGCAATGAGTAACTTGTTATCTTGAATCTGTTTATATTAAAAAAAATAATCCTCCGCTATGTTTGATGATGAATATTTAATAACATTGTATCATGTGAGTTATTCGTTTCTGAAACAGTTAAATTAAACTTAGTAACAAGTTGTTTAAAAAAGTGGACGCATTTTATTAAATCAACTCGTTTCATTAAATTAACCAGGATTTTATTATTCAATGAAGTAGAATAAAACAAAGCTAAAACAGTACAATTTATTAGAATTTTTTTAAAAAGGTTAAACCTTTTTTCAAAAACCGTTCCAGATATAGAAAAAAAGGTTTGCAATTCAATGTGAAAATGCAGGTAGAACTCAAATTTGAAATTTTTTTCATATTGATTTTGGTCCTTTGTATATTTTGCAATAAATTATGTGATGCATTAGCATTTGGGACCTGGGAACAACCAGCGTCTGCTTGTTTGTTTGTTTGTGTGTGTTCATTTCTATGTCTCAATGTTTACTTGTTTGCCGGTTTTGGTATTTGTATGTGTATTTAAATGTATTTGAATGTATGTTTGTGAGTAAACCATGTATGTTTGTAGTTTCATGTGTTTTTGAATGCATGTTTTTATATTTGAGGTTGTAGTTGAATGTGTGTTGCATGTGTTTCTGTATGTGTTTGTACGTGTGTGTTTTTAAAACGAGTTAGTATTTGTATGTTAATGGATGTGGTTTTTATATGAGACAGTAAATTTTCTAACTTTACTCACATGTGAGTTTGCTATTTCTTGCCGTTTGATACTTTAGTTTAAATTATCGACGTGTAGTGTTGGATTTGTGCGATCTATGTTGTTTATTTTGTGTGCTTGTTTAAGTGCACAGTTGAGTTGGTGTGTTTGTTTGTTCCTGTGTTTTTTGTCAGCAGTCATTACTGAAGAATCCATAAATTAATAAATTATCACACAACACACACACAAAAAAACACAAAAACAAACACACACAGTATACTCTACATATTTATGTGTCTATAAATATTTTTATGCATGTTTGCGTATGTTTGCATGTGAGTGCGTATTAGTGTGCGTGTGAGGCGTACGAACGAAGTGACACGTAAACAATTGTCTTCAAGAGCAGAGAACAACAACAACAACAACAACAACGATGACGACGACGTGAGACGACAAAAGAGGTGAATAAATTAATATTTACGCAGAATTTGAGGACATTTTATGTTTGATGTGCACTGCGCTACTATCTCCCATAATAAACTGATCTTATGAAATTTTGTTGTTGTTGCTGCTAGTTTTTTTTGTTGTTGGTGGTGGTTAGTTTGTTGTTGGTTATTCTGTTGTTAGTTTTTTGTTGGTTAGTGTGTTTTTAATTTGTTGCAGATCATAAGAACTGTTTTATTGCATGTCTGTCATAGTCATTGTTGATGCTATTAATACAGCTGTTTTTCTGGTTGTCCATGTTTATCTTCATTACATTTTTGTTGACGTTGCTTATTAATTTTGTTCAAAATGTTGTTAATGCTGTTTAAATTATTGTTAAATTTTGCCAAATTTTGCGTTTCTTCGTTCTAAGTTAACGTCATTTTATTTTCGCAACTTTTGAGTTTTTTTAGTTTTTTCTTTCAGAAATTTGCAATCGTCAGCTCTGCTTTTGCTTTTAAGAAATGTTTTAACAGCGGTGTTATTTCTATTAGTTTAATGATATTTCAATAAACCATGTTGTCGTTTTTTTTTAAAGATAGTTTTCAGAAATTGTTTGTGCAAGGTTAAATTTGTTGATCTTTTAATTTAACTGAAAGAAACTCAGTACAAAAATAATGTTGTTTGAAATATTTTAATGTTACTGTTGTTGTTCATCATATTAAAGTATATTTAAACGAAAAACTGCAACCGGCCGATGCAAATACTAATTCAACGTACCAAATTAACAAGCAATTCTCAAATAACTTTTGACATCAAACACAACACCAAATTATAACGTTAAAGTTTCACGCCGTTATTAACTTATGTAGGAAATAAATCAAACTAAATTTGAAAACGTCTTAAATTATCGGACAAAGTCTTATTATATTTTCTTGACAATGCACACGCACAAAGGCTTGCACACACATACACATACACACACATACACACATTCAAACACATGCATACAGCAAACACACATACCACCACACATACATACGCATAAAGTTACAGACGCTAACATATTTATCACTAACTCATCATGAATAATGCTACAATGAAACGACGAAAGACTTGCATTAATTTTACTAGCCAACAATTAATCCATTTTAATGGCGTGCTTGTCTGTCTGGTGTTCCTTTGATTCTTCCAAAGCCAGCCAACCACACACACCACACACACACACACACACACACACACCAAACACACACACCACACACACACACACACACCACACACACACACACACACACACCACACACACACACCACACACACACCACACCACACACACCACACACACACACACACGTTACTGCATCTGCTAACATAAACAACTTTACATCTACTCACGATGTAATAAAATAAAATATATATTTATTAAATAGATGAACAGTATACTTGTATGCATGTAAATAGCTATTAATTTTATTACATATATCTATTTTTTCATTCATATTATTATTCTTAATAATTAAAAAAGTTATTTAAATAGTAAGTATTTTTATATTTTCGAAGATAAAATATTTTACAAAACATGATTTTCTAAACGAAGTTTCAATCATTACAAACACACTCAAAAATCTACCATCACGTAGTTTATATATGGTTAATAAATAATAAGACCTTATAGATATTGCTTGTGTTAATGTAACTTAACGTGTCACCTTACATAACTTCCTGTGCTGATAAAGACTTGATGGTATTACAGGTGTTTATATCAGGCAGAATATAGATTAAGTGCAAAACGATCAGTTGCTCACAAACAATCTCTCAGACAGCAATCCAAACTGTCTAACAATTCATTAGCAGAGCGAACAAATTTTCATAATTCATTATTTATATTTTGAATTAAATCAACGAAGGCATATATGAGAATAATGAAGACTTTTTTAATTCAACTTACTTGAAAGCTCAAAAAAAATACCGCTTCCATCATTGTTTGAGTTTAATAACAAAAAAAAACCGTTCGCAAGAAATCAAATGTAATGATTACAAATAAAAACATACTTGTTCTCTGATATATAATTGTTTGTATATATTTATTCGAACACTTAATATAGCACTATTTGTTTGTAGGAACAAGATTTGAACATTAACATCAGCATGAACATTAATTCCAATGCTAACTCAATCAAACCAATTAACTTTCCAAATATAAAATGTTGCAGCAGTCCATCTCATGAAGAAATAAAAACAAAACCCTCACATCGCATTCCATTTATGTGACACTAATCAAAACACATGGATTGCATTGTATACATGCGACTGAACATGTAGTGGTTGCGTGTTAATGGCTTTTCATTTAAAAAATAGTTGAATAATTTTTCGCATTCCAATTTTAAAAATTTGCATATTTATTCTCCATAATTTTTGTTTTTTCCTATAACTAACTCATTTCTGTTCATATTCTTTTGCTACAGTCGTCATATCCTCTGTACTTGAATGTTTTTATAACGGTCAATAATCAGTCCATGTTGTAGATGTTTCACAATTTTACATTTTAAATGAACTAAATGGGATAAAAAAATTGCAAATATTTAATTAATAAACTTTTCATTTTTAATGAGATGATTGTGACGATTAAAATTTCAATTACATTCATTACGAGAAATAAGTTCAGGATTAACGCAAAAACTAGCAACATAAAATTTTTAAAAAAATTGTTATACGCCTGTGTAAATGAGCAGAATAAAATGTTTGCATGTGGATTTTTAAAGATTTTTCTAGCTTACGCACAGTTTTTATGTAAGTATATTGTGTGTCCGCACATACAAAAAATTATTCAGAATGCATCTGAGATAGATCGATAAAAAAGAATGAAACGTACACATATAAGAATAATATTAAACATTCAAACAACCTTCTAAAAGCAACTTTTACAGCCCACCAAACATTCAATAATAGACAGACAACAGACACTCACCATCGATGTATCGATGTCCAAGAGACACTTTCGCAGTGGATATCTGGACGTAGCCGGGATGGCCAAACTGACCAGCAGGACAATTGCTGACCAGTTTCAAATAATCCACGTTGTGCTCGTCACGCTCGTTGAAAATGTGCTTTAGTTTGATTGACTTGTTTCTCGATTGGGCATGAATTTGATCAATACGTGAGAAGTGGGCGTCGAGTATGTGATCGTTCGTGTGGCTGGTGTTGACGTTCGGCGAGTAGATCTCGTCCGGTGGGTGGTGCTTTGCAGCTAGGTCGTTGTAGTTCCTAATGAGGATGTCGTCATGCTCGCTGTTGGCGGTGATACTTTTGAAGTTGTTGCGCTTTTTATTATTATTATTATTATTGTTGTTGTTGTTGTAATTATCGTTGTTATAAAACTTGTCGTTGCTACTGATGAATTCGTTGGTGTGGTAATTTCTTTTTGTATGGGCTCTATGGTTGTCGTCATCATCTTCAATGGTACCATGCTGATGATGACGATGATGAAGATGTTGACGATGACGACGACGATGATTTTCGCCACTGTTTGATTTTTGTTTGACGTGTTGTTCAATTGGATCGGCCAGTAGGTGGTAAAGGTTGGGTGCCTCCGGTTCGATGGGTCTAAGAACCGGCACGGTGTGCCCTATATCACGTGACAGGTGATGTTGTGGTGGTAGTGAAGATGAAGAAGATGATGATGATGATGATGACGTTTGAGTTGGTTGATGATGACGATGATGATGGCGACGACGATTTATGACTTTGTTTTCATTGCTGGGTTTGTTTTGAAAGGACTGATCGAGTGCAGTCTTTTTAATTTTATAATTGATGTCGAGTGCCAATTTATCGTCTTTGCTGTTATTAGTGTTGTATTTGTTGTTGTTGTGCTTGTTGTTGTTGTTGTGTTTATTGTTACTGACGTTATTGATATCTTTGTGACTGTTTTGTATTTTAATGCCGTCGAAAATATTTGGCTTGTTGGAGATATTTAATTGGCCGTTATTTGATATGTCGCTAATTTTTATGTCGTTGTTGTAGTTGTTATTGCTCTTTGAAAAGAAAAAGAAGTCATTGTTGTTGTTGCTGATCGTCTCGATGTTGTGGTCGTTGTGGTAGGTTTTGTCATTCTTCACGCGGTACCAATAAGGAGGTGGTTGTTGATTATGCTTGTTGTGAGATGTAATTATCGACGATGATGAAGATGATGATGATGATGACGATGAAGATGAGGATGATGAAGATGATGATGAAGATGATGATAGTCGCGTTGATAATAATGGATTAACATTTTCTTTCTGATAAGAGTTTTTGTTGTCCGTTTTCCCATCTCTTCTGCGCTCTTGTTTTGCATGACTAAGGTCAAAACTATTCTGACCGTCTACAAGGTGGTTGAGTGGAAAATGTTTTTGTCGCGGCATTGGATGTTTGTTCTCTTTTTGTTGTTGCACATGTCGTTGTTGATGGATTGGTTGTTGTGAGAGGTTGTTGTCATTATAAAACTGCAACATGTTTTGTTGACGTCGTTGCGTCGAAACAGTCAAATTGTTGGTAATTTTGTGGTTGGACACTTTTTGCTGTTGCTGATGTTGCTGCTGTTGTTGCTGCTGCTTAGGATTTTGTTGCGGCTGAACTTGTTGAAAATCAAAAACGTTTTGATGGTTGAAGGTGTGCTTTTTACTCAATGTGTTGTTTTTACTATTCAGATTACTGATGTTGATGTTGTTAGAGTTACTGATGGGGCTGTTACGATTGTTGTTGTGATTCCTGTTGTAATTGTTGTTTTTGTAGTTTTGCTGGTTGGAATAAATGTTGTCGTTGTCGAGGTCAACTGATTTACTGTGAGCCAATTGCACAATCAGCTGTTAATAAATAGCAAATTTTTTTTTATTTAATTACAACTGAATAAAATTAAACATTTTTACTACATTAAATCTTATTATTGGATTAACTTATTTTTGTTATTTCAAGACATTACAAACTATTTCTTGCTCAAAAATAATCTGAGCAGGTGTTGCAGTTTAACAATGACCCCACCTGACTTTACATGACCTCAAATGACCTCACGTGGCGTGACAATAATGCGATCACGTGGCAGATTGGAAGATGTCATGTCCGTTGGTCCGAAAAATTTGATTAGCGTTGTTTATGGAGCTGTCGATGTGTGGTAGTCGTTTGTAGTGAGGAGCAAGTGTTCGTTGTCTGGTTGTGTTGGCACCGTTTTAGGTTACTGTATATTTTGTTGTTTTGTTTTGTTGCAGCTTTTGTTTTGTTGTTGTTGCTTTGATGTGTTGTTCTTCTTTTAGTGCTATTGTCGTTGCAGATTGTATGTTGTGTTGTTGGAAATAGTTTGTCTGTTGCGATTTGTGTTTTGTATGTCATATATAAAAAGTTTGTGGCAGTCAACGATTTTGCAGGAAAAAATTAATTCCATACGATTTCGTAGTTGACTGCTTATTCTCATTTACCGATGGCTTATTAAAACTTTCGTTGGCTTTTTGTAATAAAGTTGTCATCAGGGAATTGAAAATAAATTTGATGTTATGTATCGGCAAATTAAAAGTTTCTTTCATTGCTGCATCGTCTCCGAAGCTAACATTATTAATCACTAACGAGTTCTACGTTAACAGCCGTTCAAACATAGCAAATAAATTGAACAAAAACTTGTTGGCCACCGATCATCATTTCGTGCTTAACGGAGCAACATTTTGTTAACTAATTAAAACAAATTAAAATGTGCTGTTGTGCGGTTGTGCGGTTGTGAACGCCGAATGGTAATTGCTTCATTAAAACAAAGCGGAGAGCATTTAGCGTTGTTTATGTTAGGATTATGAACATTAGGAGTTCTACATCATCTTAAATATTGGCCTATTGAAACATAAATAACAATAAATAACTATACAAACCGGAGGGAGTCTTAAATATTTTAAAATGACGGGCATTGACAAGCTCGAATTGGCACATGAACCAGAATTACGATGATGTACACACGCACGTGTGTCCAATGCTATGCTTGCTCTAATATCGCCTTCTACTTTGAAGTTTGAAACTTTCATATTTTGTATTTTCGCATTTTCTCTTTAATTAACCCATACAGTGATGTCATTGTGACTTAATCATTGTGACTTGTCATAGTAAGAAATGTAAGCGTTCGTATTTTTGACATGTTTAATTTATGAAAACAATGCAAAAAAAGTTATCAACCATGAAGAAATGTATTAAATCGATTTGTTATGTGCATAGGAGAAATAAAGCTGTGAATGGTTCTAATACAAAAATGCGTTACACAGTAATTATGAACAACTGCATACAAAACTTTATACAACAACCAGTAACGCGCAGCAGTAACCAGCGCAACAAACACGCCACTACAAACACGCTACAATCCAATATAACGAATTAATAAACAAACAGACAATTGAAGAAAGTTGATGAGAGATATGATAAAGAGCCTTCTGACTACATTAATTGATGTTTTAATTATTGAGTCTTAATAAATAATAACTTGTCACGTGACACGTCGTAACTGACGATGATGGTGATGATGAAATTATGATGACGATGATAATAGTGATCATGAATATTCAAACAAACAAAATGGTTTAAAGTCATGTGCTAACGAATTCTATAACGTTAATATTATTTGTGGGAAGGTTATATCTACAGTTGCAACTGCAGGCTAAACATAAATCCGAGTTTACAGATAGTGATGATGATGATGGAATTTGATAACGATGGTGATAACGACGACGAAGATGATGATGATATGGATGATGATGATGACGATGATGATGACGATGAGGAAAATGAGGATGATGATGATGATCGTGATGACGACGATTAAGACAGTGATGAAAATAATTATGGTATAGATATACAATAATGATGATGTCGTTAATAATAATAATAATAATAAAAATAAAAATAATAATATAAAAAAGAACTTGATCGGAAAAGCACAATGGTTAAAAATTAGAAGTTAATGGCAACATTTCAAGTTAACAAGTGTGAAGTTAGTCGTCAGCGAGAAGAGCGCCAAAAATGTGAAATATTCGCGCGGTGGGTCGGTACGTACGTGTGGCAGGATGTGTGCGTGCGTGTGTGTGTGTTTGTGTGCGGTTTTTTGTGTTTGTGTTGGTATGTGTGTGTTTGTATGTTTGTTTGTCCGTGTGTGCGTCATATGTATGTGTTTGTTTGTATGTATGTGTGTGTCATTCATAGGTGCGTGAGTTTGTGTGTGCATGTTTATCTGTATGTGTCTGCATGTGTGTGTGACGTGTGTGTGTTTGTATGTATGTGTGTTTGTTTGTTGTATGTGAACCATTAGTGTATATACAATTTCTGCTAAATTTAATTTATCGCTATAAATATTGTTAAAACTTTATATAAAGGTGGTATTTTTATTTTCAGCGCGATGGTGTTACGGTTAAGATGCCTGACACTGTTCATGCAGTGCCCGAATTCAAATGCCAACAATCACCTGTATGTTGTGTTGTGTGTACGTTGTGTTGTGTGTACGTTGTCGACTTATCTGTAAATTTTTTAAGGTTGATGTGCAAACGTTACTGTTCTCATTGCCAATCCATCAAAGGACACCACACATTCTTCTGTTGGCCTATCAGATTTTCCACCAGATTAAATGAATTCGATGTGGCTGTCCCACTTACAATGACGTCATCTTTCAAGCATCTATTAAGAATGATTTTAATAAAAGGAGTTCAACAAGGAAGTTGGAATTAACTATACGGAAATTTGATGGAATTTTTTTAACAGTATTAACAATGAATGGACTATTTGTGTCTGGACTCTACAATGAACACCCTTCAACAATGTGAAGAGAATAAACGCTTAAGTTGAAAAACTTATATAATAATTTTGTGGAATTTTTATGACTTATGTTTATTTGTTGTCAGGAAATTGTGATAATGTTTTTTGAGATTTGAATGAAAAATAAGTCATAAAGTGGTTTAAATATTATTATGAATAATTATTATTTATTTGTGTGTTTGTATGTTTGTAAATACGGCTGATTGTGAGTGGTCTTTTTTTAATATTTTTCAATATTTTCCATGTTAAATTGTATACTGTTATTACTGTTAAATATTGATGTGTATTGTTTAGTAACATTCATTACTGTTGTCTGTTGTTATTTGATGTTTGTTGTCGTTGTGTGCTGTGTGTTGTTTGTGTGTTGTTTATTTTCATATAGTATTTAAAGTTGAGTTGTTGTGGCACTGCGTCACGAGCAGCATATTTTAGATCCCACGGATCTCGACATTCCTGGAATAGTTCTGCTTCATCAATGACTTCATCATTGCTAATCTTAATCGTCATTCTTTCATTCGCGTTATTCTTTCATTCTTTCGTTCGAAGTATATTAAAAACTTCTTTAACAAGAAACAACCACCATAATAACCTCATCATCATCATCACCTCAATATTATCAATATTAGCATGTAGTGTCATATATGTCTATCATTATTAGCATTATAGTGTCATTATCAATATAATTGTCACTGTTCTATGACAAATTTTTATCATCATCATCCTCATCATCATAATCATCGGCGTCAACATCACCAACATCAACATCATCCCAGTTATAAATATTAACTGGATCGATCGTCATTAGCAAATGAATAGAAGTAAGAAAATGTTTGTATATGTATAACTCTATGGTGTTGGTCAACTTATTTTAGTTAAATTAACAGGAAAGGGATAACTACATTCAACTCCTTCATATCAAGTTTTAATATTCGCTAATAATTTTAAAACGCTTCAATAATGTTTTGTTACGTAATTACATTTTTTCGGTTTTCCTCTTCATCTCTCATCACTGCTTTTTTCTCTCTTTATCTGCCTTCCTTTTTTCTCTCTTTCTCTCTCTCTCTCTCTTCCCCTTCCTTTCTTTCTATCTTTTTACCCATTCATCTATCTTATCTTTCTCTCTATCCTATCTTATCTATATCTCTATCATACTTATAGCAAAACAGAAACTCTCACCTCCCACACGCACAACTAACTCGAACGAAGTGTTGTAATTTGAGATGATTGTTGAAGAATGCTGAATGACGCTGACAACGCACTTTATTGCTTAATACGCCGGAACGTTATGTAGGACTTTGTAATGAGCTTTTCAGCTACGGTAAACAAAAGCAAATTGAATGAAATGATTTTGACGTGCGTGCGTGTGCTGCTGTTGGTGAACAAAATTATTGAGATAAAAAACGAAAGATAACTATATAACTATATAACCATAATATTCTATGAGAGTGAATCTTAACAACAATTTTTATTTGAAAAACATGAATTTTTGCAGGTTTGTAAAACCTGGCGCAGATATATATCGAACATATGTGTAAATTTTTTTTCATTAAAAAAAACAGTTCTGAGCAGAGTTAAAAATATTTAATTGTTTGTTCCAAATTTTCAGCAAACATTTAACTTAATAGTTTTATTAATTAGAAGTGTTAGCCGTTTTAATCTATCATAAATTTGTTTGTTTTAAATACAAACTAACTTATGAAAATAAAAACAAAGATAAAATTTTGATATTTTCAGGGAAGATTTTGTTTAGATTCATAAACAGACACTAAACAACCACTAACAAATTAGTCTGGAAACAACAGGAGTAATTTAATTCAGCAACATCATCCCATCACATTAACTTCAACGATCATTTTGTAAGCTTGCATCTCACATTTCATAACGATGTCTCACGTACAGTCACATTGTGTCCCTATCCGATTGTTGATTTCTATTAAAATCACGTCTTCAGGTTATAAATCATAAAATGGATCCAATCAATTTACAATCAAGCCACTCATTCGGTCGGTCGTGTCGTTAAACATGCCTGCAAGCATGCCTCACTCAATGCAAACAGGTACAACATGCAGTTAATTAATTAATTAATTAATTAATTAATTAATTAATTAATTGAAACAGCATTTGACAATTAAGGTTTAAGGAAAAAATGCTTGGAATGGCGGACGTAAACAATTCAAATAAAATTTCATGTACAAATTTTGTTAATAATGCGATTCTATTTTTCTTATTCAATAAGTTTAATAAGAAAGGTAAATTACAGTTTATAAATAGAATTACGGAATATTACTCGGCAACACTCATTAATGAAGCCAAAGAAATCTTGCTGAAAGACATGGCACAAGCTGGTATTGTCGTCGTAGAACCAAGTAATAGAAGGAAGACACCGAAGCCTTTATCGGACATGGAAGCACTGGTTCAAGCAGTCGAATTTATACTGGAACATAACCAGCTACCGAACCTGCCAACATACGTGACTTCTTCATTTAACTTTCCTTTGGACATTCCGCCCCCAGAAGGCGGCCACACGTGCTCATTACAGACACAAACAGTTATTTCACTGACAGAGAAAGTCAATGATTTGCAGAGAGAATTAATTAATTTGTCGAATAAATTTTCAAATTTTGTTAACAATTTTGCTACTGATTTAAATAAAAATGATGTTATTAATTTAACGAATGTCTCAAAGCCCTCAAATAAAGATTCTTTAATGTTTCATGATTCTAATAACTTGGAAAATGGGTGTGTTAAAATAGGTGAAGTTAAGGATAATAAGATGGAAAATGATGATAATGATATCTCACCCCCCATTGTTAAATCCTTATACTCTCAAATACATTTAAAATCTAAATTCAAAATAACATTGGTAAAGCTGAGAATGAGGAACTAATGCCAGCAAAAATTAGCCTAATAAAAAAATTTTCACTTTTTTTATCCAATGTTAGTCTTTCATATGATGTTGAATCTATTAAAACCTATCTTAACAAAAGAAATATTAAGGATTATGGGATTTACATAATTAATTCTAAGAAAATTTCAAATGACAAGAAAGAATATAACACTTTTAAAGTTATAGTTGACAAAAGTCATTCAAGCATTGTCAATGATTCTTCATTTTGGCCAAGAGGTATAGTTCATCGCCCATGGTTCTACCCTCCTAGGGAAAATTTTTCATTAAATAAGCAAGTCACAAATAAACAATTTCCCTTACCTGAGTTTTCTGATGAAGTAAATAAAAAGGAAAATAATAAAGATGACATTATAACCGAGTCATCTAATGTTATACAGGGACGAAATTGGGCAGATGAATCTTCTCCTTTGGAACCATTGGGGATGGCCACATGACTAGTCACAAATAAGATTTCTTACTCATGTAACACTCTTCCAAAAATAAACACTTTTTTATATACTCATATTTCATCAATCTTGAAGTTCTTAAACTCTATTGATTTTTCTAATTCAAAGGTCATAAATAAATTCCTAACCTCTTTGGCTGCTTCAAATGCTTTTGCACTAGATGATTTAAAATTGTTGCAGCAAAAATTTAATTTTGAATCACAATTTCATATATTAAATTTCAATTGTAGAAGCTTGGTTAACAAATTGGACGACATTGTAATTTTCATAAACCCCTGTGTGCAATCAATTTCAGTATAATTTCATTTACTGAAACCTGGCTTAACGCCAGTAATGAAAGTTTTATGTTGTTGCAACACTACCACTGTGTGTTCCAAAATAGGGAATCCTCAGTTGGTGGGAGTATCGCATTTTATATATCTAAGAAATTTCAATTCCTTCATCGTAATGATTTAAGTCTAATTGTAAATGACTGTCAATTAGACGCAATTGAGATAATTCAGAAACCAAAAAATTTCATTATAATTAACGTCTACAGACCCCCTAAAGTCAATGTGGACATTTTATTTGAATGTTTAAATAAAACCTTAGAGAAAGTTTCTCTTGAGAAAAAAATTATTTTTATAACTGGCGACTTAAATATTGATCTAAGCATTTTTTCCCAAGCATCCAAAAACCTTCTTGACATCCTCTCACAGTTTTCAATCTATCCAACCATAAACGTTCATACTCGTTCCTCTAGAACTTCCAGCACTATAATAGATAATATTTTTACAAATAATTTAGGTTTCTTCAAAAGTGGTTCCATCATCATTGATCTTTCTGATCTTTTTATCTATTCACACAAATAACCAACATCTTCAAACAAAAAAAATATGTAACCTTTTATAATTATTCCAAAAAAAATCTTCAAAAATTATATAAGAGTCTGTTATCACAAAACTGGTATCAATTAAAAACAATTCATGATGTAAATATAGCCTTTGATGATTTCATGAATACTTTGTTAAAGCTCAGAGATAAATTTTGTCCATTGACTCACAAATCTCAAAAAACATTTTTTAGACCTCAACCTTGGTTGGATGAAAATATTAAACATTTAATAAAGCAAAAGGATACTCTTTATAAAACATATCTTAAAAACCATTGTCTAGAAAACTTTGAAATATATAAATTGGCTAAAAAAAAATCTAAATAATAAAATTAAATATACAAAGAAAATATATTATGGTAAAGCATTCCAATTGAATTCAGGAAATATCAAGGCTACATGGAAATTAATAAAATCAATAACTAATAAACATAAAATTGTTCCAAACCCCCCGATAATGGTTGATCACAAATTAATAACCAATCCAGTTGAAGTAGCAAATAGTTTCAATAATTTTTTTGCAAATCTTTTTAGTAACCATGCTCCTATAAATGTTAATTTTAAAATGTATTTGAAAGACTCTAATAATACATCATTTTTTTATTATCCAATATCTAGAAATGAAATCCTCCATCAATGTGGCATCCTGTCAGATTCAAAAAGTTTAGATTCACATAACATTTCTAATATAATTTTAAAGAAAATAATTCACCCAATTAGTGATGTTCTTACTTTTTTATTTGACAAATGCTGTAAACAAGGTATTTTGCCAAATTGTTTAAAATCCTCAAAAGTCATACCTTTTTTCAAATCAGGAACAACTCATGACATGGCAAATTACCGCCCAATAAGTATTGTCTCATGCATTTCAAAATTATTTGAAAAGATTCTAGCAACCTGAATTGAGAAATTTTTGTCCAAAAGTGAGGTCTTTTGTGGTTTTCAATGTGGTTTCAGAAAAAATTTTTCCACAGAAAATGCTCTGATGAGATTTACTAATGAAATTGTTCATAATTTAAATAACTCCAAACATGTGGTGGCAGTTTTCATCGATTTCGCAAAGGCTTTTGACTCTGTGAATCACAAAATATTACTTCAAAAAATGGAGAGATGTGGTATTCGTGGAAGTATGTTGTCCCTGCTTGAATCATACTTATAAGGTAGAACACAGTATGTTTTTTTTGAAGAAGCTGTGTCAAATTCTTTATCTGTTGTCAGTGGTGTCCCACAAGGGAGCATAATGGGACCACATTTTTTTATCCTATTCATCAATGATTTTGAAAACTGTCTATATAGCACAAATCTGATTATGTATGCAGATGACTGTTTAATATATGTAGCTAATGAAAATATTGATATTCTGCTAGAGGATGCCAATAAAACTCTTGAAAATGTTTACAAATGGTCTAGAGATAACAAATTAAAAATAAATTTAAGTAAAACAAAATTCATGATCTTTAAATCAAAAAGAAATCTGACTTCAGATCAAGACTTTAATTTAACATTAAATGGTACTCAGCTTGGCAAAGTTGATAATTTTAAACTACTGGGTGTCTTTATAGACAATAAACTGAATTTCAGGAAGCATATTGAACACACAATCACAAGGCTTCACATTTTTTATGGAATGTTTTTGAAAATTAAACCTTTTTTAAATAAGAACATAAAGAAAATTTTATATAACTCAACTATTTTTCCCTACCTTTATTATTGTAATTTAGTTTGGGGGAATGCAAATAAAACAGAACTAAATAATTTATATTTAATACAAAAAAGATACGTCAAATTATTGTTCTCAAATGATTATTTCAACAGTTCCATAAATAAAAATATATTTTTTGATAACCAAATTATGGCTGTTTATGAAGTAAATAAATATAAAACATGTTTATTAATTTTTAGAATTATTCATGAAAATAATAAACTAAATAAACACATCATAAATTTAATTGAATACAACAGAATTTCAAACACCCGATCTAATGATAAACTTTTAATTAAAACAAATTTAATATTGAATAAAATTAGTGCTCGTCAGTTTTTCTATTATGCGCCGTTGGTTTGGAATGGACTGCCATTTTATTTGAGGGCTTTGACAAATTATAATGATTTCAAAATTCAATTAAAAACCTATTTCATATGTTTGTCATAATGTTTTATAATATTTTTTTCATATAGTTACATTTGTTTTATACATTTTCTTGATTGGGTTTTGTGCTTAGATGTGTGTGCATGAGTGTTGTGTTCGAATGTTTGTCTATATGATGTACAATTGGAAATTACTATTATATTATTAACAGCCAAATAATGTTTGATCATAACTATTTCCGTTATTACTTTTTTTGTGTGGGATCAATTGAATATGTGACTTTAAATGTATGGAATGGATGTCTTTGGGGTTGGCTGAAAAAAACACTCGTGGTTATGCTGGACCTTTTTTTTCAAAATTATTTTTTTTAATGTTTGAAAAAATAAACGGATAAAAAAAAGATTTAATTCTCCAAAACCATTTCTTTCAATCCGGTGAATACCCAGTGCACTTGAATATTATTCAGTCAGAACGTGATATCAAACGCTATTGAGGTTACTCTATTTCAATATATAAAAGATTCTGTTCCAGACACGTATAATTTAAAAAATTTGATATTTGTGAAAAGAAACATTGAGCCTCAACAACAGCAACATCAATAACAACATCAACAACAACAACATAACGTAATTTCCAGCTGGTGAAAACAGTTAAATCATTTATAGAGACTCCATCTTTATGGGTATGATGTATTCAACTAAACCGACAATAATATAATATTAGAATAAATAATACTACAAAAATACTAACAATAGTAAAAAATATGTATGTTAAATTATTATTATTTCATTTTTACTCCTATTATTACTATGATTAATATTATAAAATCAATGTTGTTATTTGCTCTCATTGTCTAGGTCAACGAATTGTGATTGTGAATGCTGAGTCGCAAGTATACACTGCACTGCATGTGTAATGTAAAGAACAGAAGAGAAAGCTTTCTCGTAAAGCACAATACAATGCAATTAGATCTCATGAGAGTGCCTTATTTGTCTTGGTACATTATGTGTATTTGTGTGGTATTGTATTGTATAGTAATGTATTGTGTTTTGTGGTATTGAATTGTATTGTAATGTATGGTATTGTATTGTATTGCATTGTATTGTATTGGCACTCTGTACTTTTAATTATGTACTACGTGTGCCTGCATAAAGTCAACACAATTATACATACATGCATAAGTGTGTTTGTGTATGTGCATATTTCTTTGATATGTAGTTCATGAAGGTTGTGTATGTATGTGGTCACGTGTGCGTGTTCTCGTACGTGTGCATGTGCATATATATATATATATATATATATATATATATAATATATATATATATATATATATATATATATATATAATGCACCAATGAAAAACCTATATATTTGTGTGTGTGTGTGTGTGTTCGTTATGATTCTTACACATGTGTGTGCGTGCTTTCGTCGATGCTGCAAATTTAACGAGCGAAGAGTAATTTCTGCTTTCTATGGAAAAACAAAAAACGTTTTACTCTTTATAAACAATTAATCTGCTGTCATATACATTTCATATATACACTGCATACAAAAGAGTTGGAAGCTTTTTGACAGACTTGTTTTTTTATTTAACTATTTCTCCCCTACCCTTCCTACAAAAATTGAAACAATTATTTATTTAACGTTGGTGGATTCATAGAAAATACTTTAAGTGCTTACAAGATCCCAGCAACAATATTTCGACCAACCCACCGCTTCGGGATACTAGCATAATTTTCACTTTAAATTTTTTTCTAAAATCTGAACGCTTCTCAAATTATAATCTAACTTTATATTATTTCAAAATAAATCTGTTTAGTGGCAAGCATGTTTGCTATCATTTTAAACCTTTCTATTTGATTGGCAATACTTGTGGCACATGTGGTAGTTGGACCGTTTTTCTCTTGGCACACAAAACATTTTTATTAACGTTATCATTATCCATTAATGACTCTAATTCAATCCACTGAGATTATTCGCGATTAATTGATAGCCCAACTGAAAAGTTCATCGTTTTGAGTGCTGCAA